ATGGCTTCATATTTTTTTTTTTTTTTTTGAGACAAAGTCTTGCTCTGTCACCTAGGCTGGAGGGCAGTGGCACAATCTCAGCTCACTGCAAGCTCCACCTCCTGGGTTCAAGCAATTCTTGTGCCTCAACCTCCTAAGCAGCTGGGTCTACAGGCATGCATCACCATGCCCGGCTGTTTTGTATTTTTAGTAGAGAAGGGATTTCACCTTGTTGGCCAGGCTGGTCTCGAACTCCTGACCTCAAGTGATCAGCCCACCTTGGCCTCCCAAAGTGCTGGAATTACAGGCATGAGTCACTGCTCCTAGCCCATAATTTTAAAACATTCCCTCTACCTTTCTTCCCATGCACCCGCAGCCAGATTAATATTCCTAAACCTCATTCTCCTTGTGGAGATTTTCCTCCTCAACCACCTTGATTGAAAAAAGCAAACTTGAATTAGAGAAAAGATATGCAACCAACAAAATTTATGAATAAAATCACGAGTTGTTTCTTCATAATAATTGATTAAAAACTTCTAGCTAGTGTAATAATAAGAGAGGGAGGAAGGAAGAGAATATATAAACATACGGCGTTTAGAATGAAAAACTGAAGTCTACCCCCAGGTTTACAGACACTTAGAACAATTGGGAGCCAATACTATATACTACTTGAGGCTAATAACTTTAAAATTCAGGAAGGGGTGAGAATTTTTAGTAATAGGTAAGTTTTACAAAATTTTTTTTTTTTTTTTGAGATGGAAGTTCGCTCTTATTACCCAGGCTGGAGTGCAATGGCGTGATCTTGGAAGTTGTACAAATTAAAGAGAAAATTTGAGTGCACAAATAATTATGGAAAAAATTGAAAAAAAACTTTTCAAAGAACTACTTCTGGGAAAGGTACTGGTTTCTTAATTTCCTTGGTTGTCTGTGATTTCAGTAAGCAATGTTTTTAAGCAACCAATCATTGTGATCGTATTTAAATGCTTCCAGGACATGAAAAAATATGAATAGGTAATTATAAACTATTTTGTGAAGTATTTACAACTTTGACATTTAAATCTGAAAAACGAAAACAACAATGTCATAGACCAGCATCATTTATGAATATTGTGGCAGACAGGACTAGCTACTTATCAAAAGCCAGGGTCCCTCTTCCATAATATAGAGGCACTGCTGGAAATGGCTGTTTAGCTAGAGAATACCTTTCTCAGCTGTATGTACTATTCTCACAATGGAATGTGAGTGCCAGTGATGTGTTCATTTCCAGGTGGAGGCTTTTTAATAAGTGGATGAACCCTCTCATCCCTTCTTGCCCCTTTGCCGGATACATTCAGAGGATGACAAAGCTCTAGGGCAGAGACTGACAAACTAAGACCTGTGTGCCTGCCAGTTTTTGTAAATAAAGTTTTATTGGAACATAGTCATGCCTATTTGTTTACTTACTGCCCATGGCAACCTTCCTGCTACATCAGAGTTGAGTAGTGACAGAGATAGTCTCAAGTATGTATTATCTGCTCCCTTAAGAAAAAATGACACCCTCGCTGTAGGGAATAGTGGCGCAGCACGACTGAAGGAGGCTTTTCATGGAGGAAATGCCTCTCTGAACTCTTTCCAAGCAAGAAATACACCTTTCTCGTCAAGCTGTGGAAGTTTTGCGGTTTGTTTTCCAGCTAGCATTATCTCAACTAATAACAAAATAGATGCACGATCCCAAAGAAAATACTAGCAATTTCTGAAACCGAATTGATAGGAGATTTTTTTCCCCCCTAGAAATTCAAGGAAGATTAGGAAAGGTGAAAATACCACATTACGTGGTCAAAGAAGAAAAGCCACATCATCATCTTTTCATATGCTTTGAAAGCATTTAAAAAACTCAACATCCGTCTTGCAAAATACTCTTAGTGGGACAGGAATAGAGAAATATTTCCTTAGCATATCTTTCCTTTCCCAAAGGCTACATCATATACAGATGTGAATGACTAGAGAAATCCCCATTTAAGAGAGAAACAAAACAAAAATGTATGTAATCATCAACCTAGCACATTATCACATAACATAAAACATAAGGCAACATTAGTATAATATAATAAATATAATATAGTATGGCCTTTGAGGCACTGGCAAGGTACCAACAATAATAGTATTCTGCTATGTAATATACAAATAATTATTAAATTATATAGTAACACTTGTATAAAATAAACTTAATATAATTCATAATTTTATATGTAAGATAAACATCTATATGATATAGATATTTTATATAAGATATATATTATTTGGTTTGTATAATATATAGTATATTATACTTTATAATATATAATTTATAAATAATATATAATATATTCAGAAAATACATAAACGTTATATGTAATTTATTTTGTTAATATACTACATAAACTTTTAGAAATTATATTAATTTTATAATATGCTACTCATGTTGCTTTTCAAGTACCAGCCAGTGAACCAAGGCAGAACATAAAAATGAGGCATAAAACAAACTTTTATTCCTTTAGACCTAGACAACTTATGATAAACTGAGAAACTATTGGAACTATTAAGAAGAGCTTTGATACTGCCCAGTTATAAAATAAATGTGTGAAATTAATAAGTTTCCCATATGTCACCAATAACCAATATGAGTTTACTTAAAAACAACAAACATTACAAAGGGAAATTAAAAAAGACTTGAATAAGTGGAGAATGATACTATGGAAGAATTTACATACTTATATATTTTAAACATAAATTCACCCTAAATTAACCTATAAATTCACTGCAATTCTAAAGAAAATTGCAATAGAATTGAAGTTGACAAAATATTGAGGCTAATTTTCACTTAAGACATACTTGCAAGAGTAGCCATTAAACATTAGAAAAAATCGGACAAATGTAAAGAAACTTGGGAAGATAGATATGAACGCAAATTGTAAAATAGATCATAAAACTGTGAAAAGCATAAAATTAGACCTCTCTCTTAAACCAAGCACTATAATAGTTTGAGACACACTAAGGATTTAAATGTAAACATAAAAGTATATGTATATTACAAGACAATCTAAGTGAATAAACTCTATATTTTTGAATTAGGAAATATTTTCAATAAAAATGAATTCAGAAAATATAATGAAAAAGATAAGTGGATTTGACTATGCAATAATTAGGAACCGCTATAGGTAAATTACACTATACCAAAAAATCAAAAGGCAAAGGACACGTTGGTAAAAGGATGTGAATCCTGTGACAGATGGAGGAGTAGCATGTTTTTCCTATATAAATAGCATACACAAAGCAGTAAAGCAAAAGCACGCTCAGCAGGAAGGAAGAGGGAAAAACCACGTATTGCCAATGATGCATAACCACAAGGAAAAATATAATCTCACTAGAAACGAAAGAATGCAAATTAAAAAGAGATCTTTTGCCTATCACGTAAAAGTACATCATAAATATACATGCACCCAACAAAAGAAAAGTAAATAAATAAACTTACATGCACGGGACAGAATATTTTAAGAAACAATAAGAGATGCCCAATGAAGATTTTTATCTGCCCAAGAGCTCATGAGAGTGCAGATGGAGGCAGTGCACCCTTGAATACTCAAGGCCAAGTTCAAAGGCACAGGATATTTAGTGGAGAGGGAGAGAGAATAGAGAGAAAATCACAGTGAGATATATAAGTGGGCACTGATGGACAAGGATATTGCCTCTCCTGGAGTTGATATTTTCATATTTACGGGTTCCAAAGGCAAAATTCATGTGGCCTCCGAATCACTGGGTGAGAGCAAGATTTTAGAATGTGAATAAACTTGATGACAAGTTTTATAATAAAGTTAGTTTTGGATAAAATGCCCTTAGACATATTTTTTGACAGTGTGTCAAAACATTTAAATATACACTGCTTATTAATATCTACCAATAGTTCTTAGAGCGGATTGTGGGCAGAGCTGCAGAAAATAAATGTGCCTGTGGGAAGGTTAATCTCCCCTTTCTCCCTGTTACCACAGTTTTCCTGGGTTCCACCCCAAAACCTCTATGAGTGAATTCAGTACTGGCAGGCTGTTTGGGTCCCCCTACTATCAATTTTCAAAAAGTTTACTAAATGATTTTATACAGTTTATGACAGAATCAATATTTGTGTCTCCTTTTTGAATACTTGTCCTTTGACTTCTCGGATCAAGCGAGAGCTTTCTGAGCTTTTACCTGCATTGTTTACCATGAACTTCACTCCCAGGAGCCTGTAAGCTGGGCAGGGTGTATGTTATCATCTCCATCTCGAGGTGAGGTGACTTGGGCACCTGGGCTTGGGTTCTAAGTTTTCTAGCCTGTGGCCAGGGCTCTTCCAGCTATTACAGTCCACCTCTCTTTAAACAAGGAAGACTTTGGTTGGGCGAGGTGGCTCATACTTGTAATCTCAGCACTTTGGGAGATAGAGGCAGGTGGATCACCTGAGGTCGGGAGTTCGAGACCAGCCTGATCAACATAGAGAAACTCTGTCTCTACTAAAAACACAAAATTAGCTGAGTTTGGTGGTGCATGCCTGTAATCCAAGCTACTTGGAGGCTGAGGCAGGAGAATCACTTGAACCAGGGAGGTGGAGGTTGTGGTGAGCCAAGATTGTGGCATTGCACTCCAGCCTGGGCAACAAGAGCGAAACTCCATCTCAAAATAAATAAATAAATACATACATACATAAGGAAGGCTGAAGAGGACCGTGACTATGACTCCTAAGTGATGGACATCTTGTGGGGAAGATGTTTTAAGGATTACACCCGGTCAAGTTCTCAACTTGCCTGACTAGAGCAAAATTAGCCTGTGTTGACTTGGTCTTGCAGGGTACATGAATAGGGATTGCAAGAAACGCCCAGAATCTCTGGCTATGGAGAATCAACTGAACTAACAACCCATAGTATGGCTCTTGTCTGGTGAGAGGCTCTCATCCCCAAAGGTCCTAGTATGTCAGAGCTCCAGGCTGCCCTCAGATCTCAAGAGCACCAAGGAGACATGCCATTTGTTCTAACTACCTTTTATGGCCTCTTTCACAGCAGAATCCACAGGAAGAATGTTTTTTTCCACCAGTTCCAGTGGCCCTGGTCGTAGAGCAATTTTTTCATTGAGATCATCAGCAAGCCGGGCTCTTTTCAGCTTCATCTGAGCAGTTGGAATGGACCTCTCTGCAGTGGAAGCTAAAGGGTTGAAAGGAAAAGGATCAGTTCTAGAATTTGCTGTCTTTCTCCCTCTCTCTTTTTTGTTTTTTTGGCTTGTGGTTACAAAAGATTGTGTCACATTGTGCTCTACCATCCTAATAATTTTTCAATGCAATCATCATCACTTTACAGGGGTTAGCACCAAAGCCTAGACACTTCCAAATAAAGGCAAATAGAGAGGCATGTTGAAAAACTAGAGAAGATTGCTTTGTGAGGATTTGTGGAAAAATTTGCAATTTGGAGATTTTTGTAAGCAAGCAGTGTGCAGGGCCTTTGTTTTTTGCCTGACCCTAAGCTATGGCCCTCGGACACACATTTGGTCTTCATAGTGACTGGTACGGGCTGGGCCCGCAGTAAATGTTATCTGTTGTTGTAATTAGTAGTTCCAGTATGACTTTTAAAGGGTTTTGGACTAGTCGATGCTGTGACCGACTGAGTCAAATGTCCAGGTCAGTTGTGAAAGGAAAAAAAATTCCATTGAAATAGTTATTTAATTAAACAGAGGGATTTTTAAAAGTTGAATTCATCTCCAGGCAGTTTCTCATCATTTGGAGGGTGTGAAAGGTCACAGACAGAGCCTTAAGTCCACTTCGATACAGCTGATATCAAACTTCCTTTTTAGGTTGGGCCCTGGCTTATTTCTGTGGAAGTACTCAGAGGAGAATCCAGCCAACTTACTGCTCTCATGGAGAACTTAAGTGAAGATTCTATAAGCGTTTGCAGCTTTACTTTCAACTTCATAAACCTAGAAAATGATATATTTACAAACAAGTCTCTCAGCTCCATTATTTTATTATTATCAACCTGCTAACCCAGACCCTGTGTCTGGCACTGATCTAGAACTCTCCATACAGAAGAGGTCTAGGGATGTCTCATCGGTTGCCACAGGTTTAGCTGTGGAAGCTGCCTCTTCTAAGCATTTCACATTAAATGGAGGGAATGTCAATACTCCAAACCAAACAATGAGCATTCCAAAGCCCATGTCATCGCCAAAACACCCCTTACAGTTCCTTGTGAGAGCAGCTTGCTAGCTCTCTGCCTCAGCGATCTTTCTGACCCATCCTGTGTGCCAACTCAGGACTGATCTTCAGAAAGCCCTCCTTTCTTCTTATGCCTCCACGCAAGATCCTTCTCACCATCCAAGTCTCTCAGTCCAGTTTTTCAAGACTGCCACAAAGGTAATCTACCACCTATCATGACCGGTGGCTCTCCCGCCCAAATCTACTGTTCCAGAGAGCCTGGTCCTTATCCTTCTGTCTTCCATGTCTTGCTGAATTCACCTTTGCACCTTGGTTTATTTCCTTTCCCCACCTTAAACTTCTTCCCCACTCCCCACTACCAACATCTTACTTTTGGGTCCCAGCATAAAGCTTTCCTAACTCTTTCTGTTCTTACATATCCCTTTTGCTTTGACCGCCTCTAGCAGTTAGAAGCATGAACGCTTCATCTTGTTGCTTCTGAAATTGGACAATAAACTCCTGGGCAGCAGGAGTCATTTTGTATCTAGCAGACCTTTTATGCTCTAAGAAGCTAATTCCCAATTTCTTATTGACAAAAGGGGATCCCATGAGAGGCACCAGGGACATGCAATTAATGGGGGTTGGTGCAGTTCACACCCTGATATTTTAATTCAAGATCATAATGATGGAGGAAATAACATTTTGTATGTTTTTGATTATAGCATTACTGTGCCCTCATTGTCATAAATGTGAAAAATGCTAAAAAGGTGTGCAAAAAAAAATGAAGGCTTCAGGAAAATCCCCACTTAGTGTCACCTATTTTTTAAGACTTGTGTGTCTTTCTTAGTTATTTACATTGATTGGTAGGTTTGTTTTTCTTCCCAGAATCTGACGATGAATATAGTTTAAGTATATAATTTTTCTATCCAGAATTTGGCAGCAAATATAGTTTTGTTTTTTGCTCTTTTCACGAAACATTGTCTTGTAAATCTTTTCTCATGAAATCACTCTTTGAAAGCCTTGTTTGTAATAGCTCTATGGTATTGAAATGGCTCTGTTGTCTGGGGCATATGCCCTGGTTCTTTGTCATGGTTGAGAAAGAATTCAGGACACGGATACACACGAGGAGTGGGTTTAGGAGCGGAAAGGTTAGTAGAAAAAGAAGAGAGAGAAAATGCTTCCTCATGCTGAGAAAGCGGGTAGTCCAAGAAGGGTCTCCGGTTTGTGGCAGAACAATGGATTTTGTACCGAGGTTTGAGGAGGCAGGGATTGATTTACATAGGGCCCAGGGGATTGGTCGACCAGGTGTTCTATTTACATAGCCCGAGAAAAGACTGGTCCTCCCACCCTAGTTTTTATTATGCAAATGAGTCATCCACCTGGAGGCGGCCATGATCTCTGCCTTGTGAAGTCTCTTCCTTCAGACTGTGACACCCTTCCATCTTTTTCTACCTGGCTCAGCCCTCACATTCCAGCCCATATCCTCACTCCCCATTCGTTCTGATTCAGATGGCTCTTTTCTCTGATCTCTTCCATGCACCCACCACACCATGCATTCCCTCTTTTTTCATGCTGGATTGCGTTGGATACAATGAGTTCTAAATTTCTCTTCAAAGAATAAGTATGTCAGTATGTTCAATTTTTTTTTTTTTTTTAGTATGTTCAATTTTTTGACCTCCATTTTAAAGTTTAAATTCCTTGTAGTTTCAGTAAACAACCTCTTCCATCAGTTCTAATCAGTAGTTCACATCTATTCCCTCGATTCCCTGCTCTGTCCTGACTCATCCTGGTCACCTGTTCCAGTCGCCTGCTCAGTCTTGACTCATCCCAGTCACCTGCTTTGACCTGAGTCACCCCCGTCACCTGTTCTGACCTGAGTCACCTTCAGTTACCTGTTCCATAACCGTTTTTCCTGCTAAACCACTCACCCGCCGCTCTGACTCATACCCCTGCTCTCTTTAAAATAACCAGTAGGAATTAGCTTTGACTGTGCAATCTAACCCTAGCCAATAGGGGAACAACACAGCAGTAGGGGCTGCATCAGGGATAAGAACCTCTTCCCCTCCCCTGTTCAGGTGTGCACTCACCATTGCTCCATCCATGAGATGCACGCTTCTATAGAAGTAAATTGCCTTGCTGAGAGAATTTATATTCGAGTGCTATTTCTTTTGCGGCATCAACATTTTACATATAACAATTGTAAATGTGATTCTCATGTCCTCTGTTATACTGTGAGACCCTCTGAGGGCACAAACCTGTGTCTTATTTATAGTTGAATCCACTGGCCTGGCAGAAGAGGCAACTCCTAGCAGACACCCAACACAGTGTGTGTTCAAGGAATAAATATCCCATAGTTAACTGTCAAATTAGGGGTTGGACCTCTTTTAGGGTGCACACCAGTGGTCTGGGGGATTCTGTCCCAGGGAAGGCAACTCATGAGGCAGGAGCAGGAGCCTCTTCTCCTGAATCCAGATGTCAGAATATGGGAACCAATTAGGTGTCTGCTTTGTCTCACACACCCCAGCACAGAGGTGGCATTGTAAGGCAGAACTAGACCTGTTTTGATCAGCACTAATTTTCTCAGATTGTCATTCCCTGCATGCCTGAAGGTAAAGGCAACAGCAAAGCATAATCAGTTACCTGGAGGATACAGAGGCAACAAGGGAACTGTGATTCCCTTCCAAAGTGAGTGATAGTCCAGATTAATAATAATTGTCTGCACATGTTGGATGTGTTCCATGCACTCTTAGAAGTTATGTGATTTGCCCAGGCCTTACAGGTAGGAGACGGCACAGCTGAGATTAGAGTCCGAGTCTCTCACCTGCTTAACTGTTTTATGGCTTCCCAACTTGGTTATCTACATGGCCTAGAAGGCTTAGATGATTACTTGAAACTACCACTTTGTAATGGCAAGGGAGATTTTTAAGAGGGCTTAGCAACTGTACAGAGACAGGTAGCTCAGGGAAAACACCCCAGGGTTCTACAGCATCTCTTGGTTTATGATTTCTTGCAGCCTTACCTTGGAGTATGTGCATATTAACCAAGTCAGCACTGTTGCACCTGTTTCTGGCTTTCCGCTTCAGGGAATTTTTAGCCTGTAGAACCCAAACAAAGAGAATCACCCAGTTTTACCTTTTGAAAAACACTCGATTTATCTCAAAGGAGAAAATAACCTTTTAAAATGATAAATGAAACATGAAAATATTCTTGGTGTCCCACAGTTTGATGAAGGAATATTTACAAAGACCCCTCGAGTCATTTGTAGATGGGAAAATAAGATAAGAAGGTAAAGAGCCTGGGTCCAAGGCAGGGCTACAAACCTAAAGCTCTTTCAGGGACAGGCAGGTTGGGACATGTTAATAAAATGCTCCTATAACCCTTAGGATACTAGGGTGCTTGTATTATAATCGATCCTATTCCATTGCTTTTTTTTTGTTTTTTCTTTTTTTTGAGACAGAGTCTCTGTCATCCAGGCTGTGGCAAAATCATAGCTCACTGCAGCCTTTTCCTCCTGGGCACAAGTGATCCTCTTGCCTTAGTCCCACGAGTAGCTGGGACTACAGGCGTGCACCACCAAACTCATCTAATTAAAAAAAATTTTTTTATTTTTAGTAGACAGGGTTTCACCATGTTTCCTAGGCTAGTCTTCAATTCCTGGAGTCAAGCGATCTGCCCTCCTCAGCCTCCCAGAGTGCTGGGATTACGGGCATGAGCCACAGCACCCAGCCTCCATTTCCTCTGAAAATAGTCACAAAATTAACCAAGATTAGAGCTAAAACATTGCCTAAATCCATCTAATACAACATGACAATGTATGCCTCTTTCCCGTTACTTGCCTGACTTCTCTTTTAGGACACATAAAAACGTAAAGCCTGCAGATGCAGACTCACCACACGTTGGAAGGGCATGGTTATTTACCCAGTCGCGGGCTCTGGGAGGGCCAACACTGGACCCCAGGTTTCTGATGTCTAGTTCTGGGTTTTTATCTCACTATAGTGGATCTCCCAGCAGCCCCCTGAGAGGGGTCTGGGAATCACTTCAATTCTGATAAAAGAGTCTGCTGTTCTTTGTTCTTCTCGGTAGTAGGAATCACAGCCACTTGTGAGCTACATTGAGGAGTTACAGATCCCTCCTCTTCCTCTCTATCCACAGACAAGTTGCAAGACTAGTACTCTCAGGCAAGGAAACACCGGTGGGGGGGATGCTCTCTTTGCCTTTCTTTCTCACTCAAAGTGTTGATACTTGCTAAACAGTATTTATTAATATATTATTGACAAATTCAGGTTGCAGAGATTTGTTATGAAAGTACAGAATATATACCAAATGTCCACCTCAAATGGAAAATAAGCATAATTCCTCTTGCCTTTAAGTAGCTACAAATAAGTTCTGTAACCATAAACCATGCCTTACCATTGAATTGGATATTTAAAAACCTGATTGTTGTTAAGAAATGGCAGTAATGAAAGGTAAGGCAGCTTGAAAGCCAACTTCACTTCCCTCTCTAAAGTGTTTTTGATTATAGTGAATCTTTTTTTTTTTTGAGCCGGAGTCTCGCTCTGTCACCCAGGCTGGAGTGTAGTGGCACAATCTCGGCTCACTGAAACCTCCACATCCCAGGTTCAAGCGATTCTCCTGACTCAGCCTCCTGAGCAGCTGGGATTACAGGTGCATGCTACCACACCCAGCTAATTTTTGTATTTTTAGTAGAGATAGTGATGTTTCACCATGTTGGTCAGGCTGGTCGCAAACTCCTGACCTTGTGATTCACCTGCCTCGGCCTCCCCATGTGCTGGGATTACAGGCGTGAGCCACCATGTCTGGCCAATTCTAGGGCATCCATGCTGTGATTTCTTCCAACATTAGAAAGATTGGGGACATTTAAAAAAAAAAGCTAAAAGATAGCAGTTTCAAAACTAATATAGTTGATCCCATTTCTATAGCTATCAGTTAATAGGAGCAAGATTCCATATGATATGAGGGCAGGGGACTGGCAAATCGATTGAGTTTGTTGTAGAAACTGTACGCGCATCAGCAAGGGTTAGCATTCAGAGATTCATAACCTAGAGTCTAAGTTTGGATCAAGAAATTTGCGAAAATTACCTTGTCACTATCCAAATTTTTTCTTTGCTCATGGAATTCCGTTGGACGTTTCGATGCTGAAATAGAAACACAAAAACATGAGTGGAGGCTGGGTTAAGGGCCTCGGTCAGCATCGCAGGCTTTGCCGGTGTGCTTGCTGAGCTATGCACAGTATGGATGTGCGTGCCTTTATTAGGCTACAAGCAATGACAGAAGACAGGCCTGGAGAATACCAGCAGCCCTGAAGCCATAGGAGATAGGAAGTGGAATCGAAGCCTCAAACAGGGGGAGTAGCAGAGGCAGGATGTGCAACAAGAAGAGAAGTGATGGAGGCAGGGCATTCCAGGGTCTGGAGGAAGTAGAGGGGGTGGTGGAAAACTGAAAACAGAAATAACCCTCTGGTTGGAGGGAGAGGTGTAATCTTGGGTAACTAACACCCTCTTTGACTTTGCTCTGCCCTTGAGTGCAAAAGGCCCCAGGGATGACTGTGGTCTGTGTCTGTGGGGTGGGGCGGTGCACTGGGGGAAGGGACTGTACTCTGGATAAAGTGTGTGACTGGTAGGTCAGGAACATGCAACCAAGGGTGTTGAGTGAGAAGCAGAGAATCAAACTTTGAGGGCTGGAAGGAGCCTTGGAGACAGGGAAGTTAACTCCAACCCTGAACAGAATGGGGAAACTGAGGTCCACAGAAACAGATTGACTTGCCCAGGATCAGTTAGGGCTAGGAGCATAGGTCCTGTGACAACTCTAACCTCTTTCAAGGTGTGACATGTAAAATATTAACCACCAGTAGCCAGAGGCGCTGGTTAGTCGTACATAACACATGGCGGCCATGAACAACCTGGACTGAATGCCAGCCTCACTCTCTTCCCACTGCCTCCTCCTCATCACCACTTCATCACACCTCTTATGGGGGTTTAATAAACTCCTTTGATTGAGCAAAGAAGCAGACCATCATTTTGCAAAATTTCTACATTTAGTCTTGATTTTCTTAATCTAGAACAATCTCAATCAGGAGCCACAAATAATCACTTTTCAGGATAAGTGATGAAGTTGATAAGTAGTTACAGAACTGCATTGATTTCTCCCCCCCACCCCGAATTAAATGTCTGGACAACTTGATGAATCACGTGATACAGAATTTTACTATGACTGTAACAGTTGTCTACCGTAAGCTGCAGGTAACGAAGTATTCTTCCAAATCTTGGCCAGCACAAAAATTAGGTTTCGGACCAGATCAGAGTGTGTGTGTATGTGTGTGTGTGTGTGTATGTGTGTGTGTGTGTATGTGTGTGTGTATGTGTGTGTATGTATGTGTGTGTGTATGTGTGTGTATGTGTGTGTGTATGTGTGTGTATGTATGTTTGTGTGTGTGTGTGCACGCCTCACTCAGCCCTTAAGATCATGCTGAATGTGAACACAGTTTTCAGCAGGGCTTGCTGGAGATCAAGCAGACATAGACGTAGACCATAATGGTAGCTGGCCATAGTATCTTCTTTAAGAATGCTGCCTGGGGAGTTAATAAGTCACACTCTCTATAAATCTCCCTGTTCACCCTGACATTAACAATGTTGCCGAAGGAACATGTAGAATTGTCCCATCTGGCTTCCTTGTGCCAAATATAGTTGACAGGCATCCTTCTCACTTGGATCAAAGATTAAGAGGCTTTCCTTCTTATAGTGAAAAAAAATGAACACGCTGCTTGAATACCACTGATCTAGAAACTGTTTTTCACTTGTCTTTGATTTCTGCTCTTCACTCTTAAAATGAGCCTCTCTGCAAAATCTCCCTTTTTAGATGACCCTTTTCTCCCATTTCTCCCGACTCAGTGATTCTGAGAAATAGATCAGCTCTCCTGTGTTGCTCATGTATTTTCTTTGAGTTGCGTCTGGTCATCATCCTTAAAAAGGCTTGCCTTTTCCTGCATTTGATCGCAGTTGAAATTTATGTCCAGGGAGTTCTCCAAAGAAACTCCCTTTCCCCCTAAGCAATCAGATTATGATACAAAGTCTGCTTGAAGTCCAGTGGGCCACTGTGGATCTATACAACCAGTATCAATTGGTCTTTACCTCTGTCCTATCTCCTGGTAATCATTTAGTTAGGTATTGTATATTGGTGCAGTTCAATTACTTACATAACCCAGAAAAGGAATCGATCTTTGTGTGGCCTCATTAAGTGGTTGAAAAGAATAACATGCCCTTTCCTCAAGAAACTCCCTGAAGGGAATAGTATGAATAGATCTTGAGATGTCGCTCACATTCCAAACACAATTGGTTTTAACTGGGCTTGGGGTTTAGGAGGACTTTATCGGGTTCTCGTGTCTCTGAGGCTGTTCAATTCTTATTAGCAAAGCTTATTAATTGTTCTAAGAAACACTGTATTTCCTGTATCTCAGCTTCGTAGAACTACAATTCGTCACTTCTTGGTGTTAATAACTCCCCTGTGAGATGATTCACACAGTCCAGTTCTCCGATGCCAGAAGCACAAAGGTCTTCTGGAACCTTCTGCCACAGGGTGGAAGAAACTATCTCCATTTAGCAAGGACTTGGGAAGACAGCCAAAGAGGTCCACATGCTGCATTTTACCACATGCTCTTCTCCTCGGAGGTTAAGAGGTGTTATATGAGGCACTGGCTTGAGGTTACACCATGGAAAGCTATCCTTGCCATGGCCTTGGGGTTGAGGTTTGCCTTCTCAGTGACTGCAGAGATTGTGGGTTTTAACCATCTCCCACGAAGGCCAACAAAAGTGATGGTGCCCCCCACTTCTCAGTTGGCTTTTGGGAAAATGCATAAAAAACCACTTCTGCTGCCAGCCTGGGGAGTATCAAATGGCAAAATTCTGTATTTAAAGGACTTTGACATTTAAGATGGAAAAGGAATTTGGATTCTAAATCTTAAAAAAAAATCCATGTGACGTTGAATTAAAATACTGTTGTAAATTCAATCAGCCACACATCTAACTCTTTCCCCCTGGAGGGAGATTAATGGTCCCTCACAAGGGAATTTGTGTTCTTGCCTCAGAGTTTCGTTGTGGGCTATGCCTATTTCTGTCCCCACGGCTGTGGCTAATTTGGGTCAGCTGAGCATATAAACATTTGCTTACTTAGAACTTAGAAAAAGGATCCCAAGATAAGAACAGCCCTCCTGCAGTCCTCTGCTCTCCACTGTAACCTTGTGCTTCTAGCAGGATCCCAGAAAAAGGTGAAAACGGGTTGTGGGGCCACGGAGAACTCAGTGAAGGGCGTCACGCCTCAGCACAGTGTAGGGTCCCTGGAGTTGGGTGACTCCGGCAGCAGAAGCAGGGCTGTACCTGGTGTTGGGCTGTGGCCGGTGCAGGGCCTGACTTCTCTTAATGGGACCATTCAGCAGCAGGCTTGGAGGGATCCCAGGTTCATTGCTACTAAGAGGACCAAGAGGGAGAATTAAAAAGCCAGAGACTTGGGGCGCAGCTAGTGCAGCATTCTCAAAGTGCAGCCTCCAGACCAGCATCCTCAGCATCAACTGGGAACGTGTTAGAAATCCCAATCTTGGGACTCATCCCAGCCCCAGAGAATCAGAAACTCTGCCAGCAGGACCCAGGAATCTGTGTTTTAACAAGCCTTCCAGGTGATTCTGATGCAAAAGCCTCAGAACCACTGTGATGGGATTTGTAAGTCCAGTGGATCCTGATCTAGGGGCTCTGGGAACCAAGGACTTCAAAAAGGGAGCAATGAATGACCAGGGCTGATTTTCAGCATTTCAAAAAACTGAAGAGAAAGAGTATGTCTGCCCAGAGAAAGGCTGCTTAGACTAACAAAGCTGTCACTTTTCATTGCTGCTGCCTGGAATCATAGCAACTTGGTTTAGTTATGGTTGTTCTTATCAAAAAGCACTAGCTGGGAAATTTATAGACCATTAATTAGAAAATTACTTAAAAATGTAAAATTAATTATTTCAAAGATACATGGATTAATAATTAAGGTTTGTGGGATTCTTTGGGGAGTAGGGAAGACAACACTATTTCAAACATAAGACGTATGACCGTGATGGGTAGAATTGAAGAAATCCTGGGTGACTAAACATTTGGGAACCATCCATTTGAGTTCTATTCTTGCTCTGCCATCTACTTTCAGCATCACCTTGAGCAAGCCTGAGAGTTTTCCTTTGCTGTCAGTTTCCCACTTATAAAAAGGGGCCTATTCATGTTATCTTCTCTCTGTCTTGCTTTTAAAGACAAATTGGGTCATGAGAACATTTTTTATTTTTTTAAGCAAACAGGATACATGCTACATATAATATTAATGCTTTGGAGACTATATTTTCTTTTTTGCTTGGCAATAAATTGCTACTTCAGTACCCCAATGATAGTCTTAAGGGTCTGTTACCCCAATGATAGTGTGCAGGGTCTGAAAACAGTGCATTTTCCCAACGTAACTTTGTAATGTTCAAGACCTCGCAAGCACATGCAACATCTGTGAACACTTTGGAATTTCTTGGAAGGAGGGCGCAAAGACAAATTCAAAGTGTGCCTGTAATTACTGGTTTTCTAGTTTCTAAGGAGGAGGGAAATGGAACATTGAAGGAGAGATGGGGGAAAGAAGGAAGGTAAGTTTTTTGACCCAAATGGGATTGATGTGAAAATCCAGGGCACCTTTTTCTCTCTCTGAATTCAAGATGTTAGAAAGAAGGGAAGAGGCAGACAGATTAATTCCCTTGTGCTGTGTACTGCTGGAACAGCCGACAGTGTGTGGTAGGGTGCTGTAGGGAAAAGCCAAGTCAAATGAATGCACTGAGAAAAGGAAGAGAGGCTTTGTCCAGTCAACTTCTCAAAACTATCGTGAAGCTGCATGTGGAATGAGTGCAGAAATTGCCCCGATCATTCTTCTTGCTATTCAGAAGTACCACAGAATTCAGGGATTTACCAAGGTTTTGCAGTAAGTATGTGGCTGCTGTGGCTTGGATTAGTCTGCAAAAAAAATAAAGGCAGCACTATTCATAGACAGCTCATCGTATCTTTAAATTCATTTACATTGATCAGATCATGAAACCAGGCTGCCCAGACATTCCATGCTGGCCAGCGGCGGCTTTCTCTGAGACTCTGTGGACACGCAGCAGCCTCTCTGGGCCCTGTGTCCTCTCAAATCCACTTTAGCTCTCTAATCTCATCGTCTGTATTCCAGGAGAATAAATTAAACAGTCTTTCATCTCTACCCTGGTTCAGCACCAAATAGATTCACTTTAGTAGCAGAGGGAGAGGGAGAGAAAAAGTGATCTTTCCTTCAATCTTCCTGGATGCCCATTCTCATGCAGTGGTGTGAAGTTGTCTAGAATTGTTCAGTGGGATGATTAAATGGGGGTGATCGGGGGCCCCCCCTGGTCTGGAAGCACTTTGAAACGGAAGTTGAGTCCGACTTCTCTGTGTTTGTTCCCTGGAGCCTGTCTCACAGCAGAGGGTTAATAAATATTTACTGAAATGCTCAATGACCATTTTATTGAGTCTGATTTACATGGCTGGTCATCTTTCTACAGTAAGTCTTCTGAAGTGGTTAGAATAAAATGATGTTATTTAAAATTTTACCCAGGAGAGTGACACCCAGGGAGAAGAATTGCAGGAGAGAAAATTTGCATAAGAAATGGTGAACAGGTCCAATAGGTCTAGGCAAGGGGGTGGACTCTGTCCTCATGCCATGAAAATGTAGAGAACCTTGATGTCCTCTTGCAACCTTGAGCCCAAAAGGAAGGGACAGTCAAACCATTCCCTATGAATCTTGGTTGATGATGAATCTAGGCAATTTGAAATCTCTATGTTGAGACTTAGAGGTGAAATTTTGGAGATAAATCTAAACAGTAAGTTCTTTAAGTAATATTTCTGAGTTGACTTTGAGGGATATTTCACTAACGTTTCATGACAATTTTGAAAATGTGAATTTCACAACTGCTATTGTAAATATACCTGATCTGAGAACCCTTGACCCACTGTTTAAAGTTGTGCTAGGGATTACGTGCTGGCTTCAGAACCTTGCTTGTCTTGACTAAAAGTCAAGAGATGGTGCCTTTAAATTCATTTGAAGCATGTAAAAAGAGACATCCTAAGCTCATCAGGCACACACATAAAAACAAAGTGAATGTTTAAAATAAGTCATTCACTGCGATTATAAAAAAGAATTTGTTGCTGGTTGCTAAAGACTGTCTATTACTCAGCAGCAACCTCAAAATCTGCAGGATACATGCCCAGGGAAAGCGAAGGAAGAAGATTTCAATCCATTTGGATCAGTTTTACTACAATTACACATGACTCATTAGAGTCAGTGGGGGAGGAGCCTTATAATTTAATTATCAATTTGGAATGCAGTTGAAGTGAGACCTGCCATACAGCTAAGTCAGTGAAATCTTTCTTTCAATACTCATCATGGCAAAGCATAGATTATGATGTCATTTCATTTAAATCAATGGTTTATCTTTGGCATTTTCACACATTATACACTTTTTAATTTTTCTAAATTTTTTTGGCCATAAAATGCCTTATGATGCGAAATAAGTAAGGGTTTTTAAAGGCCAAATGATTCATTTTGAACGTTTGAGAAAAGGAGCCCAGGCAGAGATCAGGAGACACAAGTCCCGGCCTCAGCCCTCCACAATAGGAGGGGGTTGCATGTTATCGAGTGGACAAGCCCTGAAAATTTAACCTAATGTAAAACTCCATGCTAATTGGTGGCAGGTGCTTCTGTTGGCCCGTTAAAAATAGTATTGCTATTTGATAAGGACAATGTACAGTCCAGTTAGCCATCAGCTTTGAGTTTTGACAATTTATGGCATGTTTAAAAAGATTGTGACTATTTCTAATTTTATGAACAAAGCGAGATTTTATGAATAATTTTATCTGGCATGCATTTGCATTCTCATAAATCAAAACTGTAGAAAATGGGACCACATTTGGATCTAGGCTTCAGGACATCTGAAAAAATCTCTTAGGTCTCTTCAACCTCAGTTTCATGAACAGGGATTGGGATATGTCAGGGTTTTGCAAACTCTATTCTGAGGAGAACCAGCACTGTAGAGAGAATTATCAGGAGGCTTCTGGAAGGGACAAGGAGAGGCCCAGTAAATGGGGCAGAGACATTTGACACTGCCTCAGTCAGTGCATGTGTGTTTGTGTGTGTGTCTGTGTATGTATGTGTGTAAAATCCAGGGCACCTTTTTCTATCTCTGTATATATGTACTATATACATGTGTGTATGTGTGTATATATGCAATTGTTAAATCTTATGCACTATATATATGCACATGCACTATATATATACACATACATATACATAGTGTATAAGATTTAGCAATTAAAAAATTAGAAAAATCACAGCATTAGGTAGGCTCTGAGGACTACTACCTTTCCTTGCCTCCATTCTTCCTCCTTTTCTTTTACTTTCTGTTTCAAAAAAATTTAAATAATGGAGTGAAAAAATAAGAAAGTCTTCTTGTGAAAGGTAATGAGTTGCACACTAAATTATGCTTCGGTGTGCTTTTTATCAACTTTCCCCCCAAATATCTTGACTTTTTCTGAGGGACCATCTTGCTTATTATTGTCTTCCCTAAAGTGCCTGGCACAGTCCCCTGTATATAGTCTGGGTTATAATAATATTTGTTGAATTATACTGAATTGAAAAGATCCTGAGCCCCTTGCTTCTTCTTTCCTTCTCCTAATCGTTTGCATTTAGACATGTTCCCTTAGGTGGCACAGGAAACATACTGCTCTGCTGAAATGCACACAGATTGCACGTTTAATCTCTGATTGGGCTGAAGAGGCTGACCATCGGTAGGGGAAGAGATGCCTCCTATCTCTAGCTTCCTGAGAGAGCTAAGGGAAAAGGTCTGTATAGGCAGGGCCTGCAGTGTGCACCTGCCTGACTTGGACACTTTTTGCCAGCAGAATCTACACTCTTGGAAACCCTGGTTGCGAGGAGGTAGCTGCAGACTGGGGAAAACCTTTATCATAGTGTGTACTTTTTAAAATGCTTCATTATTTCATGATTTGTAGGTTTTTTCCTAGAAATTATCTCAATGATGCAATGAACTAAAGATGCAAAATGTCTGTTAAGCATTATTTTGTTAATATGCATATTACTTGATTCTAGAATTCCTCATCGGATTCTACTACACAAATGAACATTTGATTTATATAACTTACACGATAGGTGTTAAAATGTGGGATAGGGTTAATTACCACCTTCAGGTGTTTTTACTAATTTTCAGATTTAACACTGTATCCCTCAAAAAATGTTTATTCTTAGCCAAATGCCAGCTGCAAGACCCAGGCCCAGAGTATTTAAGCACATGAGTCAAACTACAAAGCAGACGTGTACAACTTGGGCTTACGGAAAGGTCGTGGGCCCATCTGCTCCATTTGCCTTTCCAGAATTAAAGAGAAAAAAACATCAGGGAAGGGATAGATTATCAGCTTTGAGTGAAATTGTCTGGACCTGACCTGACATTTGCAGGCTTTTGGTTTCTCCCTGTCTTTAGCACCTCCAAGGATAGGCTAAGATGAAACAGGCCACACATAGGCTTGCTCCTTGTTCCTTTGCTTCCTCAGCGTAGTTGTAAACGTTGCGTTGAAATTGCGGGATGAGCTGTTTCCTTTGTACTTCACGAACCTCTAAAAGAGTTGTCCCACTTTAAGGTCACCTACTGTTTACTACTTGCAGAGTGCAGCCATGAACAAAGGACTACTTTTGAATTACAAAACAAAAGGCCCGAAAACTTCTTAGTTCTGTTCTGGCTCTGAAACAAAGATTAAACTTTAAACGTTTAGCCATGGGTCATAGGGTTTCAGTATAGCTAATTACACAACAATTTTTCAACGGCAAACTTCCTCTTCTTGTACGCTGAACTCTGAAGTAGCAGTCACAGTAGCATTTTACAGACAGCTGAATTTCTACACAAGTCATTATAGATCTTGATTTTTAAATTTTGCTGGAGAGGAAGTTTGAATGTATTATCTAGAGCAGCTTCACTCATGACTTATTCATCCAGGGTACACTTTCCTCTATTCCCACAGATAACCAAGAGTTAGCTTTCATTGCTGGATTGGTAGAAAATTTAAAATAGAATCCTCTAAAAGATATAATAATAATCCTTCTTCTTTTATCCAGATTGTGGCCAGTAATTCAACGTTATATTATTCATGCTAAAATGGTATTGCCACTCCACCTTCTAGAGAGGAAATACTTGACAATATTCAATTACTTGTGGACTCAAATACCCCAAACAAAACTGAAACTGAGGAGGTGAGAAAAAGATGATGTGACTGATGCTTCCAGAAAGAATATTAATTATATCCAATTTTAAAAGTAGATGAGTCGGGGGTGCCCATAATGAATTCTGTTTACCCTAAGAACAAATCCACTACATTGGAGTTTTAGGCATAACCAGTGTCATTAAAAAGAGCCCCTTGCAGGTGTGTAGGTAGCAGTCAGGGCAAAGCATCCCAGGTCTGGGATTTCTGCTTTGAAAGACAACGGGAGACCAATGCACTGGCTTAGACTAAGCAGCCTCTGAGGCACTTTCCAGCTCCCAAATGGTGTGGCCCCATATATATCAGTAATTAAGAGATGCAGATACTCACGTGGTATTATGCCTTGGTTAGCCAGTTGTTCCTGGGTCCGTCTTTGTTGAAGTCTTAACTGCAAAACTTAGAAAAGGAGGTGTTAGTTTGTGAGTTGGGCTAAATATCATTACCATCATTTATATTTTCATTATATATCCATAGCTCATCTCATTTAATTTCTACAACAGTTCTGAAAATTATTGTGAAGTACATTTTTATTTCTGTTGTAGACACAGTGGAAGAAGAAAGAGAAAAGCTGAGAAGGTTGCAAGGTTTTGCAGTAAGTCTGTCTCAAACTAGAATTAGAATACTTGTCTCCTCTTTGAAGTGAATCTTATTTTTGCAATGCCACTCTCTCTCTCTCCTCACTCTGTCATTTGCAAGATGAATATCATCTAATTCCACTTGGGTGGCAACCTGTGATATCAAAAGGGGAGACAGAGTCCCACCTAGGTTCGTGTCTCATCTCTAGCTCTTTAATAGCTGTGTATCCCTGAGCAAGTTGCTTAACCTCTCTGAGCCCCTGTTTCCTCATTTGTAAATAAAAACAATGCCTACCTGGTGGTGTTGCTATAAAGCTTGATAAAAAAATTTATTTACACTGCTTAGCAGAATGTCTGGCACATGTAATGACATTTTGATAAGTGGTAGTATTATGAGAATCTGGAATTCTTCTGGGAATTCAAAGAAGGACTACCGGAGTTGTGGTTTTCTTAGAAAAATTAAAACATTGTAAAATAGTCAGATTATGTATTATAAATAAATATATGTATGTTCCAAATATTATATATCTATAGCACAAATAGATTATATGTATCATATACATGTAATAGTAAAAATTAAATAACACTGAATTATTAACTTCTGAGTGCAGTATGTACAATGCTCTCCCTTCCATTGCCCCCTCCTCCAAACACATTCTATCTCGAAATTCAGACTCATCCTCATGGATATTCCATTTTCTCTATATACATTGACAAGAGAGCTTAAAGTCTGAATCCACTTGGATTAATCATCTGCTAAAATAAAAACCATGTTTTCCAGAGGACTGTAACAGAACTCAGCGTCTATATAACATAAGGCTCACAATGTCCAGAATACAATCTAAAATACTCTAACGCAAAAAAACTAGGAAAATACGACCAATTCTAGATGGAAAAGACAATGAACAGATGCAAACCTTGAGATGAATCAGATGTTGAAATTATGAGACAAATATTTTAAAATAGTTATTTCCAACTAGGTTCAATAAAGTAAAAGTAACCGACAAAAAAAAAATAGAAAATCTTAGTAGCAAGATATAACCCATAAGAAGAAATCAAAGTAGAAATATTAAAACTTAACAGATTATCTAGAATAAAAAATTATTGAATGGACTGAATAGAAGATTTCAAAGGAATGAGTCAGTAAACTTGAAGATATATCAAACTGAAGAAGAGAGAGAAAAAAAGATGAAAAATGAGCAGGTCTCAGGGACTAGTGTGACAATATCTAAAAGTCTAATATTAGGTAATTAGAGTCCCAGAAGTAGAGCAGAGGAAGAAATAATGGCCAAAATCTTCCTGAAATTGGTGAAAAAAAAAAAAAAAAAANAAAAAAAAAAAAAAAAGAATTTACAGATTCAAAAAGCTCAATAAATCCTACACTAAATATGTTCACAGAAAAACACACTTAGATACATAATAATCCAATGGCTGAGAGCCAAAGATAAAGAGAAAAATCTTAAAAACAGGTTGGGGAGAAACAACACATTGTATAAAGAAAAATGTTGATTTAAATAGCCATAGATGTCTCTTCAGAAACAATGAAAGCTAAAAAAGAGAAACAAATAAACACCCCACCCCCCAAATCTGACAACCCGGAATAGAAAATGTCCTCCAGGAATGAAGGTAAAATAAAGATATTTTCAGGTAAAGAAAAAATATAATTTCTTGCAATAAATGCTTAAGTAGATTCTTCAGGCTCAAGGGAAATGATACCAGAAGAGAACACAGATACTCAGGAATGAATAAAGAATGTCAGCAATGGTAACTCTATTAATAAATATTAAAGATATTTATTTTTCTTCTTAAACATATAGAACTACATATACAAATTTAGAAAGAAAAATTGTAACATTGTCTTTCGATGTTCTTAAGGCACATAGAGGTAATGCAGATTACAGTGACAATATAAAGAACTTCTTAGGACTGCCAAGTTTCTATACTTCACATGCAGTAGTATAATACTAACCATAGGTAGACTGTCACAGTTAACAATTATATTGTAACTAATAAGAAAAACACAAAGAATATAACTAAAAAAAAGTCATAAATTGAAACAAAATGCTAAAAATATCCAATTAATCCAAAGAAGGCAAGAAAGGGGGAATATAGGAACAAAAAGTATAGGGACAGACAAAAAACAAGTAGTATAATGGTAGATCCAAATCCAACCACATCAATAATTACATCATATTTGAATAGTTGAAATGCTCAAATAAAAGTTTTTCAGAAAGAATTTATGAAAGCGATATTCAATTATATGTTATCTTCAGGAGACATGCTTTATATATAAAGTGTCAGATTCGTTGAAAGTAAGTAAATGGAAAGAAGATATACCATACAGACAGGAAGCACAAGAAAGCTGGAATAACTATCTTAATGTCACATAAAATAGACATCAAATCACAGAGTATTGTCAGAGATAAAGAATGGAAATTTCATAATTATAAGAGGGAGAATTCATCAGGAAGACACAGCAATTATAAATGGGTACACATTTAAGAACAGAACCTCAAAATACATGAAGCAAAAATGGACAGAATTAAAGGAATAAATAGACAATTTCAAAATCACAGTAGGAGATTTTAAGACTCCTTTCTCAACATCTGATAGAACTAGATTTAAAAAATATTAATGACATAATCTTGATATCATTAATATTTGTTTGGCTCTATATTCAACAACTGCAGAATAAATATTCTTTTCAGGTGTACATGGTACATTCACCAATATATACTAGTCACAGAATAAGTTTAAATAAATTTGAAATAATTGATCTCATATGGAGTATGTTTTCTGATGACATTGGAATTAGTTATAACTCAAAAGGAATATGCTATTAATGAATAAATGTTTGGCAACATATTTCTAGATAATTCATAGGTCAAAAAGAAATCACCAAAGCAATTAAAATATTTAAAACTGTGTAATAAAAAATACGACGTATAACTATTTCATATCACAATTTCCCATAACCTATATTACAACTTCTGAGACACAGCTAAAGCAGTGATTAGAGGGAAACCTAGAGTTATATTAGAAACCTAGAGTTATATTAGAAAAAGAGAAAAGTTTAAAATCAATGATCTAAGATTCTACCATAAGAAGATAGAAAAGAAGTATGCTTACAGTAAGTAGAAACAAGAAATAATAAAGATTAAAGTAGAAAGCTTTATAACAGAAAACAGACAAAGAGTAGAAAAAGAACAATGCAAAAAGCTGGTTATTTTCAAAGATCAACACAACTGGCAAACTCTTAATTAGACTAATTAAATTAAATTAAATTAATTAATTTATTTATTTTGAGACAGAGTCTCACTCTGTCAACCAGGCCAGAGTACAGTGGCACTATCTCTGCTCACTACAACTTCCATCTCCTGAGTTCAAGCGATTCTCCTGTCTTTGCCTCCTGAGTAGCTGGGATTACAAGTGTGTGCCACTATGCCAGGCTAATGTTTGTATTTTTAGTAGATATAGGGTTTCGCCATGTTGATAAGGTTGATCTCAAACTGCTGACCTCAAATGGTCCACCTGCCTTAGCCTCCCAAAGTGACTGATTAAAAGAATAGAAAACAAAGTTTACCAATAACAGGACTAAAAAATGTGTTAAAACTCTATATTCTAGACATCAAAGATAATGAGAGAATACATTAACAAATTTGTGTTAATAAATTTAACAACTTAAAGTGGACACATTTATTGAAAACTCAAGCTTACCAAAATTGTTATTCAGAAAATGTGAATAAAAATGTTTATTAAATCATGCATTGATTATCATAAACATCACCACCACAACCGTCCCCCCACACACATACAAAAATATTCAGGCCCAGGTGATTTTACTGGTGAATTTTTATCCAAGTGTGATAGGAACAAGCTGTTTTCCATTAAATAACACATTTTATACATTATACCAACTATAAATAAGAATTCTCACTTATATTGTCTTTCAATATCATAGATCTTAATCAAGTGAAGACAAAAGTTTATAGATCTCCCATTGCTAGAGTTAGCCAATTAGAAGACTCTTTCAGTTCTCTAGGTATTAAGCCATTTGACTCAGATTGAGCTGGACAAAGGCAGTGGAAATGGAAACAAAAGAGGAAACTGTTAAAAATATTTTGAATAAAAAGAATTAGAAGAGTTTGATGACATGAAGGAGGATAGAAATATGGGTGCAGTGGCTTACCCCTGTAATCCCAGCACTTTGGGAGGCCAAGGCAGGGAGATCACGGGTCAGGAGTTCGAAACCAGCCTGACCAACATAGTGAAACCCTGTCTCTACTAAAAACACAAAAATTAGCCAAGTGTGGTGGCACGTACCTGTAATCCTAGCTACTTGGGAGGCTGAGGCAGGAGAATGGCTTGAATCCGGGAGGCGGAGGTTGCAGTGAGCCAAGATGGCGCCACTGCACTCCAGTCTGGGTGACAGAGCAAGACTCCGTCTCAACAAAAAAGAGAAACGTATGTTACTATCTTTCAAGGGGTTGTTGGTCTGGGATCTTTGGATATGCTACAAGAAATACAACTAATTGATATGCACAACTATGTGTGCATATATGTATTTTTTTCTTGGGTATGGGTCCATAGCACACATTAGATTCCAAATAAATAAATAAATAAATAAAGTCAAGGCTTCCAGATTTAAGCTCCTTTAATTTAAAAGCTTAAAGATTTAGGGTTCTGAAAACATGTATTAGAGTTATGTTATAATGAAGTTGACAAAGAAATCTGAAAAAATGATGAGCTTAATTTTAGACAATCTGAATTTTTGAGGTCCTGGTGAATAAAAAAGAAGGTGCCCAATAAACAGCTGAGATA